CCTGCCGCCGCCGCGCTTTTCGGGGCCCCCCCGTTCTTCTGGGGGACCCGGGCTCAGCCATAGAGAGTGTAGAGCAGAGGGAGGAACGTCCGTTCTCTGCTCTGCGTGATCAGTGAGACCGGAGCTCCGCAATCGCAATGTAATCACAGCGCCCCCTGTGTCAGCTGTCGGGAACTACACCGGACATCTGTTCCGCAAAGAGAACCTGTCGCCTCCATCACATAGGGCATGGGTGGCCAAACTCCGGCCATCCAGCTGGGGGGTGAAACTACAAATCCCATGAGTCATCTCTCTCCGGGAGTCGTGGCTGTGAGAATCTTGCAAAGCCTCGTGGGATTCGTAGTTCCACCCCACAGCTGGAGGGCTGCAGTTTGGCCATCCCTGGCAAGCCCCTCCCCACCGTGTGATAGGAATAAAATTAACCAACTCCGCTGCCCCCGCCATCTGCATGCAAATAAACGCACACGCAGGACATTGTGTGTGTGCGTTGAGTGCTGCCCCCCATTCCACTATGCGCCATATTGTGGTAGCCGGGCAGCAGAACTCTCCCACACGCACAATGCGCATTAAAGGGGAAGTTCACTTTCCCAGGTAATATGGAAAAATGGAATTACCTGATGAAATCTGGCCCCCGTCTCTCCCAAAACCCCCTAGCCCCCGGCTATACTATGAAGGTATGAGAATTCCGGGACATCCAGGCCGGCTGATTGTCTCCTCCTCCTGTCCTCATTCGTTGTATGACGGTCCCGGTTCTCCTGGGCCTGGGGTAGGTTGCAGTGGGTAGTCGCATTCAGCAGAACTCTTCCCGTGATGGGGAAGACCTTTCACCATCACCCGCGTGTCTTCCTCGGCATGCGCTAACTCGGTCACCTTATCACCATGGAATGAGTCCGGCTAGATCTTCATGGCTTGAGGACCTGATGGGAGGTGTGATGGTCCGTGCACCCGCCCCGGTCTATTGCTGTTACCACGGTGACATGAAGTCTGGAGGAGGTTCTGTGAGTGAGTTGCATGGCCAAGGATGGGAATTGTTGTCACTTAGTTGAGGATGATGAAGCCCCACCACCCAGCACAAGGGAAGTCCTCTGGTATCTGTAGCCCGGTGTCATGAGGAATCTGTACATCAGGGAACCAAAACCAACCCCTCAACCAACACATGGCCCAACATAGGAGGTACGCCGCACCTTAAGGGGCAGGGATGGACTTTTGAGGGCCGTGAGCAGAACATTTTGGAAAGAGAGGGCAACTGGTTCTCAGGAGGGGTAAAGGAGGCCACATTCACCAAACTGGAGCCACCAAACAAGGCATCCAACACCTTCTGTCACCCCCTTATGGTGATGGTTTAGCGTGTCTTCCTCTGGGATGTGACAGCCATGTAACTCGAAGGATTTCCACCTGTTCTAAACCTCATGGTACCCCAGCGATTGGATAATGGTGCTAGGACACCATGACGGTCAACATCTACACCAGGGGTGCCCATTAGGTCGATCGCAAAGCACGGGTAGATCGTGATCGGCTGTGTCCTGTCCTCCCGCGGTGCTCGTGCGGCTGAATGTGTCAGACGGGAAAGGGGGGGTGGACGACACACACACACCTCTCCCCGTGTGCAATCCCTTTCTTTGCGCTCTCCTGCACCTTGAGGGGCTCCCTCGTTGTCTTCATTGTTCATATTTTCTTTCCTTCCGTCACATTCATCGATTCGTTCTCCTTTGGTGTATTGTAGTGTTAGTTCCTGCTCAGGTCTGGTCTCTGGGGCGTTAATAAGAGCGATGTATGGAAGGCTGCATAGCAGTAACGCCACCACATGACTATCTTTCATTTCCTCTCCTATTGCACGTAGGTAGCTGTTCTATGATCTCCAGCATGACCCTCACATGTTCTATGATCTCCAGCATGACCCTCACATGTTCACACATTTCCCGGCCTCATCTTGTATAGCTTACGTAGCAGATATAGTTTACTGTTCAGCAGTTTCTGTCATGCCGTCCACATACCTTTAGCTGTATTCTTTTCTGATGTGGATGAGCTGGTCGTCTTCCACTCGCAGCAGTGGCGTAACAATCGCCATAGCGACCCAGGCGGCCGCTATGGGGCCCGGGCACAGGGGGGCCCGGGCAGGGCATCCCTCTGATGCCGTGTGGGCCGCCTGGGTCGCTATGGCATGTAAGGGTGCTGGCTGTCACTGACAAGATGAGCAAGCAAAGACAGCCAGGAGAGAGAGGGAGCGAGGAGAGACAGCCAGGAGAGAGCAAGCAGAGACAGCCAGGAGAGAGGAGAGATAGCCAGGAGAGAGGAGAGACAGCCAGGAGAGAGAGCGAGAGACAGCCAGGAGAGAGAGCGAGAGACAGCCAGAAGGGAGAGAGAGAGACAGCG